GTGATAGAAGTAAATGACAATTATAAAAAATATTATATATATATTTGTACACACAAAATACAATTAAAATATTAATAATATTCATATCGAATGGAAATTAATGAAAAATAGAAAAGATAGGAATCTTTATCCTAGAATAATGATTAAACAGGAAAACGAGATGATTGAAAATTTTCCACTAACGGGGAAATAAAATGAATAAGACAATTTTTGTTCGATAGAGAAAAAAGAAACAAAAGGTATAATGAAAGAGAGAAAGAGACGTCATCAATAATGTCACGCGAGAGGAAGGGCGTACGATATATACCGGAAGAGAGTAGACGGTTCGTGATCTATGAGGGGAAGGATTTCGCGTTACGTCGCACTGTTATTGAACAACCTCCTACGCGAATCATGATGAGAATATACCAGCTGAGATCAACTAACTGATCCCCCATTTATTCCTACTTTTTTTTTTCTTCCCCTTTCAAATAGAAACCTGTTCCCAAAATTTTACGACATTTCTTCTCTCTCCCTCTCTTCCGTTATTCTTTTTTTTTCTTTTTTTTTTCTTTTTTTTTTTCTTAATGCATAAAAATAAATGAAAGTGGAATAATTATATAGAGGGAGAGGGAAAATGATTTAATCCCCCGTTCACGAATAAATGTGCTATTTAAGTTAAAAATTATTCCTTTTTATACGTTCTGATATTTGTAACAATTTTTCTAGACTGAAATAAAATAATTTATGATCATCTCTTTCATTCAACACACCTCCCGCCGACGTGTGCTTTTTTATTATTTCAATCTTTAAAAAAATACTCTTTTTTAATTACTGATACTATTTTAAGAAAAAAAAATTCGACCGTAAAACTGCAAGGAAATAAATATTATTAAATGGTTATAAAATCGATATATTATCGATACATAGGTCGTATCAATATTAATTTCGAATAATGAATAAATAATGAATACATTTAGTGGCACATATATGCATAAATATGAATGACTTTAATCGTTAGTAATAAGAACTGCATGAATAATAAAAAAAAAGAAAAGAATAACATGCATAACCGGTACGATCCAACGCGACAAGTATTTGTTCAGTTTGTTGACCGACACTAAGCGTTCACGTTTCATAGGTTAAATATCGCTTCTGCAACAAATATCAATGTCTTATTGCAATAAAAGGAACTCAAAGAACAATCGATCGTTCGAATTTAAGAAAATAAAAGTACTCTGATTTTTCTCTCTAACTCCCTCTCTTTCTCTCTCTCTCTCTCTCATTCTCTCTCTTTCTCATTCTCTCTTTTAAATCTAGGACGTGTCAACGATCGATTACAAACTTCGCTACGCCGAGTAAATTTGTACAAAAGATACATCCAACAAGAGAATATAAACTATACCACACAACGTGTGATTATACAAAACCAGATGAGAAACACAAGAAACTTCCATTGTTATAATTGTGAAAAAAATCACGAATAAAGGTAAGTAAATTATAAACCAAAGGAAACTCGTTTTTCAAAACTTCCGATTGCAACCGAGTACGATGACCAATGTAATTATTAAAAAATCGATAAGAATGGATAAGAAACAAATGGAAAAAAAAAGTTTGAAATAGATGTAAATGAAAAAGTATTCGGTTTATATCAAACAAAATTCGTACCCCGATTAATAAATACTTTATGATTATTTTAACAGATATTTGTCGTTTATTAATTAAAAATAAATAAAAGTATTATCTTTGGGAATGATTTGTTCTTTTTTTTATTCTGATATTTATATTATACCTAATTGCATAATACAACTACAATTTTCTTTAAGACTCAAGATACAAAAATCAAACTATATTTTCCGAATAAGAACGAAGAGGAGTCGTGTTAGTAATACAACAAGAAAGAAGACAGGTGAATGAAAATAGAAAAGGAAGAGTGTATGTGTTGTATATCTAAAAAGAGATAAAAAGAGAAGAAATAGGGAGGATACTATTAATCGAGATCGTATTGAATCGCGTGAGACCAAACAACGTGAGAATAAAATACTCCACGTGACGAAAAGGGCGTTCATTGGCTTGATCACAGCCGCGAAGAAATTGCAGGAAACCGAATGCAATCGTTTTTAATGTTTTTTTTTTTCTTTTTATTTTTTTAACTATATCATTACTTAAAAACCTTGACGAATAACCACACAAAGGAGCGTCGATATTTCAAACTCAAATGCCAATTATCGATAAAATGTATACTTATGTTAGTTATTATATTTAGATTATTTTAAAATAAATATATATTCGATTTTGTTCATATATATGATTCTCCTACTAATAAATACATGCGCGCGCATATATAAAATTAAAAATTAATCGAAAAGTACGGAAAAATATTTATAGAGATACCTCTGTATAAATAAATAAATGAATGAATAAATAAATAAATAAAAAATATATA